GAAAAGCTACCCGCCCTCTGATTTGATTTTGATTTAACTTGATTTGCAAAGTAGGTAAGTGTGTAGGGGAAAAAAAACCCTTTTGTTTTTTTTTTTTTTCCCTTTTTTTTTTTGTTGGTTTTTTTTTTTTTTTTTTTTTTTTTTTTTGATGATGATGGAAAAACTTTTGGTATTTATAATTTCGACCAGCGAAATTATAATTAGCTTTAAGTGTAATCAAAGGGAAGGGATGAATAGATTCACTATAGAGGATTCCGAATTTATAGAATTTCCATTTCTGACACTGGGGGCTTATTGCTTATGTGTGACGTACGTGACACGGTAAACTTGTTATTCCTGAATCAGATCTTCGATGCAATGCGCCTTATATGCAGTTTGTCTTTGTGCCCGTACAATAATAACAATAAAAACTCCTTGATTTTTAAATTAGTACAAAATATCCCGATGTGACGGATCCCGCCCGCAATAGAATGTCTCTTTTTTAAAAGTAAAGCATTTCAGGCCTTGTGCGATCAAACTTCCCCTTCGTGTAGACGAAATCACGCATTATGTAAGAAAAAAAAAAAAAAAGTGAACACCGTGTGGGCTTGAAGTGCAATCTCCAAGTTTAGCGTTATGCTTCGCGCTTGCACGTTACATTTCCATCGAAAAATAGGAATCAATCAAGTTCGGCTTTTTTTAATTTCGGTGATGTTTGCAATCACGATCATAAGAATACCATATTTCGCCTGGAGGCGTCATGCGGTGAAACCACCACCACCCTTAAATAAAACATCCTGTATATACGGATATATAAAGTAATCGCGTCACGGTGGTACTTCACGCCGCGAAATATACCAAGATAAATTGAAGAGCGAAAAAATCAACCTTTTGATTAATGTTTGTGGCTGGTGGTACATATTTAAAACCCGAGGTGGTTCATCATTTTATACAATGGGAATAGACCAAAATCAAAAAGTCTCGCAATTGATCATATGCGGTATAACGTATCAAATTCTTTTTTTTTATTACGATTGATATAGCAGTAAAAGATTTTTTGTCTTTCACGTTTCAGCAAAACATCGACACTTATTCATCGATTGACCACTCGCTCAGATTGGATGACCGCTAACCACTTGTGACCATTAATATTTCATGTAGTAAAAACCTGAAACTACTTGATACGAGTGCATATTGTACACAGTTGCCCATTGGTTCTGGTTGGCTAGCTTGTTAATCGATCCAACGATAATGTGGGGAGTCAAGAAAAAGAGAAAACCGTTTCTAATTTTATAAATTACTCCTCGAACAATCTTATCTAAAATTATCGTCACACCTTCGGGAAGAAATTCTTTCGGGAAACTGGTGCTAAATATTTTTAGGCCTACTTCCCTACTATTTTTTCTTTTTGAACAATGAACCATGCAACGATAAAAATAAAATGCGAACTGGATAGAGAGACTGCCACATCTTCACGTGATAAACACCGCGAACAAATTATTTAAAAGCTCTTGTATCCCCTATGATTGGTTATCGCATCTTTCTAAAAAAAACTGTTATATCTTCATTTGCAAATATTTTCTAAACATATTGAATAAATAACATCAATCCATTAACTCAAAGCACGCAATCATCTTTCTCCACGTCATCATTCACCAATGTTCTGACAAACTCTTTTGTCCGTAAACCATCAAGATTGAACCCCAACAGCTATAATAATGACACGATGGATTTGGACGAAATGTCGAAATCATACTTGGAAATTAAGTTGGTCGAACCTGTCATATTTTTTCGCGGTAAAGCGGAAGAATCCGTCGGATGCGTCCTGAGGGGTGATTTGCTGGTGCATCTGTCGAAACCCACGAGAATTCGAAAGTTGGAAATGAAGTTTTCCGGTGTTGCGAAAACTCATTGGAAAGAAGGTGACTAAACATAGAGTACATACAATGATGTCTCGTCGATGAATTTATAACTCACGCAGGTTCTTATTTAAAAAAAAAAAAAAGATCGCAAAAATCTTTTAGAGGAACGAGAAATAATTTCCCACACATGGAAATTCCTAACCGTCACCAACGAAGAAATCGCCGAAGAGGATGAATCCATCGATTGTCGAGAGTTGACGGAGACTACGAATTTGCTAAAACCACGGTTCAGATTTCTATCTTCCTCGTTTCGAAAAAGCCACCGAGAAAGAAGTAGTGCTCGCGGGAATAGCCACATCACCGAAAAGCTGCCGGCCGGAATACACAGTTACCCTTTCGAATTATTTTTACAAGGTAACCTGCCTGAAACCGTCACCACCGATTTGGGCACGGTGTCTTATTGTTTGTGCGCGAAGGCGACGAGGTCAAGGTTCAAACCGAACATGACATTGTGCCAACCAATTGAAATTCTACGCACCATACCCGATCACATTAACGCTCAGGGTATAGCATTTTCCCGGGAATTCAATGACATGGTAATGTATCTTTATCATTGTTTCATCATTATTGATTCCTTCGGTAATTTCATCATGCCCGAGGAGGTGATGTAACCAACGACCGTTATTCTATTTATTTATCGCTACCTTGTTTCTGATTTTTCTCAGCTGTCCTATGAGATCAGTATACCCAAGAAAGGATACCCAATTGGACAAACCATTCCGATAGAAATGAAGATTTGTCCGTATATAAAAAGGCTTCGTGTGAACGGTGTGAAAGTGGAACTAGTGGAGAAGACCACCTACACCTCAAATGAACAAAAGGTCACCGATTCAAAAGTGGGTGCCACCATATCATCGAACAATTTCGAAGAGGAGAGGCTGATCGACGACCACGAGGATGGCGACGTCGGAAATGTCACCTACTATCAAGTCGTGAACTTTGCAATACCCAAGTGCGCATCGCCCATTCATTACTCTTGCGCCACACCTTTGATCAGTGTGGCTCATGATTTGAAATTCACCTTTGCGATAACGCTTCCAAATGTCCCTTTTAATAAAGCGGAGCTTAAAATCTGTGTGCCCATCACCATCTTGTCATGCAAGGCCTTGGAGGATTATGTGGGATTGCCTAGTTACGAAGATGCCAACTCCTTTTGTCCGTGTGGTCCCGAATATATGAGGATGGCGAGACTGGTGCTGGGTGAGGATGCCGGGGAGATACTTAAAAATGGAAGTTGCAAATTCTTTGCCTCGTGTGGCGACAATTTGGGTGATGCAAATGAGCAATTTAATGATTGTTTAACGGCACCTGGCAATCATTATGTCAATCATTTGTTGAATCATCATCAGTCACCTCCCAGCTATGAAGCTTCAATAACCGAAAGTATCGATTAAAAAAAGGCAATAAATCCGTCAAGTGCAACCACATTCCCTGTTAATATCTTGTATATACAGTATATATATATATCATGCTACCATTAGTCAATATAACCACCATATGCGGTATAAATAGGTAGACGCCTTTTACCGAGAGGTTTTATGTATCAAAATCAAAATCAAAATAAATGAAGCCACCCCGAATCCAAATAAACTTAGATATACACTCTCATAGATTACGATTGCAATCAGCATAATAAATAAATCCATTCGTTTGGGCTGGCCCCAACTTTTTATGGTTATTTTATTTCTTCGAGGCAAGAATAGTCGTCGACGTGTAATGCAATTGTGCTACGTAACTGTACAGACTCTCGGGCGCCATCGATCAACGATTAAATTAGTTAAAATACGAGTTGCGGTAATACACCCGCAAGTACATTATGATGTCTCCTCAGCCTTTGGAGGCTAGACCCTGATGAAAACAGTGATGTATCCAAACATCATTACACTTTTCACACTACCACACGCGTTTATGATTACGTTGTTTTTTAACGGTGTAGTCTGCCTGCAGTTTTATTTAAGACATTTGAAAATGGAGAAGCAAAAGACAAGCAATTTTAAAGTTGCTAATAAGTGTTCATTAATAAAGTGAGTCAATTCATGACACGTCACTGGAATGATAGACTTTTGCTCGATATAATTATAAATAATGAAGCTTCATACGTCCATTGCAAATTGCACATTGATAAAACCGTGGGTCCACCTACCGACCTGCATCCTTCTTTCGCCTTTACACCGCAAAGAAAGAAAGATTGATTCCTTGTAAGAAAAACATTCTCGTCTGACGTCACGATAAAATGGAAGTCGAATCGGATGACGAAACCGTTAGAAGCATACCCCCCACCGAGATCAATGAAGAGGCCGGTGAAAACGAAAATGAAGAAGAGGTGGGGAAGGGAGAAGAGGACGATAACCTGTATCCTGTCGATTACATTGTCGATCATAGGTATACAGATGATGTAAGTTCCTCTTTCGAAACCATCTTGGATAGGCGTGCTTCGTTCACACATCATCGTCTTTATAACTTACCTAGAACCACATTCAATATTTGATCAAATGGAAATATTACGGAGAAGATGAGAACACCTGGGAACCCGTAAACAACATGTGGGCGACGTCACAATTTGTTTTTTTTTTTTTTTTCCACCTCGGGCACATCTCTCTGATCCTTGTAAAATTCATAGTGTGGACGAGAATCTCATCAAAACATATTGGGACTCGAGGTATGAGAACGACGCGCCAATTGGGCTTGTCAGCGATGATGAAGACGATGGTGAAGTTATCACCCGGGCAACATTTACTCCAACCTCCACCACCAACAGAAGAGGCGGAAATAAATCCCGAAGAAAATTACGCAAACGACCTCCTGGGCACAATATTCCGCGATTTTTTGAACCGGAATGGGATCCTTATGTTGATAGGATTGTTTCAATGTTTCGGGATCCTTCCGACGGTGAACTATACGCGGTTCTATTATGGTATCCAATCCGATCCTTTGACACTCTACATATTACCGCGTTTTAAAAAGGTTAACTATTTAGGAAAATGACGAGATTGCGAAATCAGTATACAGTACACACCGTGGCGGAAGCTAGGCGCCGATGTCCTCTCAGTGTTTGCATCATTCCTTTATTTTTCGGAAATTTTTTGTAATCTTTATTTCGACCCTTTACCATTTTTTTTTTTTTTTCTTTAACAGTTAATTCAATTTTTCGAATCCCGATCAGTCTTCAAGTATGACGAAGGCAAACAGTCTCACGATTTTTCGACGGTCACGATATAATCCGAACACGAATTCTGTATTGCATAAAAATTTCAGCTACGTAGATTTCCCATCACGTAATATTAAAAAATTCCGTCTATCGCATACTGTATAGTGTAATAAGTCGACTTCATGTAAATAACAATTAATTCCTTTGTCTGCAAGCGTTCGTTGTAAATCTGTAAATTCCCCGTTATTCCCTGAAACAAATACGGCGACACCTCCAAATGCTCCTACATCTTATGCGTTTATTTTTAGATACACGCAAAATCCTACGTCCTGATTGTTTGTTTATTCAGCGTTTAAAGAGAAAATCAGTAATACAACATGATAAAAAAAGAAAATAAAAGAAAATAAATTCACTAACAAACACGAATGGCAGAACTGCAAAGTGTTTACCATTAAGAGGCGGGCAATTTACTTTTATTTAATCAATCAGGAAATTATGAAATAATGTTAGATTGGGCAACCCATTTCGTGCAGCAATTGTTGTCCCCATTTAGAAATTTTACTTTACCAAAGTTCTGATCTTTTCGATGCTGGATAGTAAACCATCCATTTGTATCCATTCGAAGAAAAACCGCTCGGATTTAAGCAGTGACACTTGTGCTCTACTGTGGTGGAGTCCACACCATTAAGACTATCGGCGTGTGAAGCAGTTGGGACATCAAAAGAATAATTCCGATATTTGTCTGCTAATATTAACTAATATGTTCACATAATTATCAGATTATTATCACAAGGTTATCTAGTATAATAATCGGTAATTATTATTACTTACGACGTCTGGCACCGGATACAATCTAAGAGAATGATCATAATCTCGTGCAACAGGCCTCGCGGACAACATCAGAGGGCACAAGTGTGATTGATGCAATAAAGTTTTTACCACCTAATGTACATTGTGAGGTTGAAATAACAAGTTTAACTTCCTTTGGTCATAAAAAGATTCTTGCTTGCCTGTTTCTCCAAACTATCCTGCGCAAGTTGAGTCCTCGGTATCTTTATACTGTTTCTATTAAATTTATGAATAATATCTTCCCGAAAAACTACAAGTTCTTGACTACAATATTTAATTCTGTCAAGAAACGCAATCGTTTTAATTAGCATCATCACGATAAACGAAAGTTTTTTATTAGGTAGTTAATTACCTGCAAGGATTACTGGTGAAAATGGCGTTAGGTAACTTGGTTTTTAACCGAGTGGTATACAAATCGGATATCTGTCTTTGTGGCAATGGCCCATTTAAAATAAAATCGTTGATACCCGGCACAAAAACAAAATACGATGACTTTGCTATAGAAGGGAACTCCGCGATGAGACTTCCCAACTTATCAAAGGCCACTACCAAATTTCATAAGATTCGTATTGGTTAGAGTTAAGTAAGTATTGGAGATAGGATAATTGAAAAATGAATGCAACCTTTGTATTTCGTAGAGTGCTCTTCCGTATACAAGAAGGGTTCGGATAAAAAATTTCCGATAAAGATGAAGACAAAGGGAAATACATTTACACTTGCATAAATTCGGAGCATCTCCCTTAAATTAGTTAGCGTCTGAAAAAACATTGAACCGAAGTGAATAAAAAATCGGAAGTTGTTGTCAGTGCCCACACCCTTATGCATCGCGAACCTTGTATTCATCCAGCCAGACATCTGATAACACGGCGAAAAACAAATGATCCCATTTGATTTCATATTTTTTAATCATCTATAGGCAAGAACGAGTGCAATCAATTAAACGACCTTGACCGATATGTTGATCTAGTTATGAACAAACCTCATCCTCCAGGGGAATTGAAACTCCCAAAAAATCGATACGGCCCAATTCTTCCCTATTCACGATGAGAAAAGAAGCTGTATAAGGAATTCATTGTCATGACAAATCTACCAATTTGTTTCCCACGCTTTACCTTGTGTCCTCGGCGCATTCTAATGGCGGATTTTCCATCTTCAGCACCTTGAACGTTTGACCATCACAATATTGACCTCTAACTAGAACAAAGTTGCCCTCAGCAAAAAACCCTTCAAATTCCTTTAACAAAACTTTAATAAGTATATTCAGATGATGCCGAGCATTCACAATCCGAAAATTTAAATTGCGCATACGCATTCTGATAAATCCAATTTCATGCTTCCATCTCTATCTTCGAGGTAATATGTTCCGTCTCTCAAGGATGTCAACATACCGAGAACAGTAAAGTTCTGACCCGTTCTTCCACGCAAATCTTTTATTGTAAGTAACTGAATTTTAAGCGCAAGCAATTTTTAGTGGTGCAAATACGAATAACGTCGAACGATGTAATTCTTACCTTACTCTCGAATCCCTTGAAATTCCTGGCACGTTTCCATGATTTCGGCCTTCGTACCAACCTCTGATGAATCAAATCAAACCTTTCTACGTGAACAGATTCTTTCGAAGGGCTGATCACCTTTGGTGGATTGATTTTTCTTAAAAAGTATAATATTAATTGAACCATCTGGTCTACGTATTATATGATTTTTGTCGTAATCCTGTTCTACCTTATAAAAGTCTTGGTTTCTTTTTCGATACTCCAGCTGGGCATATCGAAAGCATTTACCACATGAAAGAATTTGTATGGGTCAGCTTCACCAATCATTGAATCATTTCTTTCTATCGTCGATTCATTTTTTATGTACGGTAAATTGTAATAGACGGTTTTTAATTTTTCCAGCTCAACGAAACTACTGTGCTCTGTTAATACAATTCACATGTGAATGATAATTGGAGGAAAACAAATAAAAACTTACACAAGGAATATATATATATATATATACGATACCATTATTTTTTGCATACTCCCTCGCTATCTGCTTAATTAATTCGGATTTTTCTACCAGAAAATCCCTTTGTGCGATCTCGCTAAGCTTCTTCTCTAAAAATTGGGTTGAATCAGGCCGAATGATCAAGTTATAAACGGAACCGAACTGATGCAGGATCATGGGCTTAAACGACATTGTGATCAAATTCACAGGGAAGAAAAAAGCAAATTTCGCTGACGCGTATTACGTATATAAGACGCACGTCAATGCTGATCTATCACGTGTTTTAGCTGTAACTTTTTTTTGATAATTCTATTTTTTTTTTTTTTTTGAGTATCCGTAGCCAGGCTAGGTCGTCAGTTTATTAATCAATTGAAAACAAAAGTACATTTTCATTCGAGCAGCATGATACATACTACAGCTAAACTATTATTCTATTCTAACTAACTTGTTGTAAGCATAAAAGCCTCTAAGATCGACCTTGGAAACAATATTTCACTCTGCAGTGTCTTTGGATAAACACCCTCCTAGTCTACTGCATCATTGCCAGCAAGTTGTTACTGCTGTATGTCTAATCAAGCCACTGGAATACAGGAAACTACAAAAGAATAGGTTGAAAAAAGAGAAGGGGGGATATCTAAAAATATCTAAGCAGATAACAAAAAAATAAAAAAGTAAAAATTGAAAAAATATTTCCAGCTTCCTCCAAAGACCTGCTTCTCAAGACCTCTTTTCAATAAGAAATGCCCGATTGGGATATCCTTTCTTTTCCTGATCGTCTGAGGAACTTATCCATTCTTGATCTTGATTTTCTTCTTGTGTACCGTCTGAGGAGACTTATCATCTAGTGGGAGCCTTTACTTCCAGGACACACTTAGTCCCAACCTTCTTTAGGCAGTGATTTTTTATCCACCAGCAGTAGACAGATGACTTATGATGGACCCCAGGTTCTTATGTGGTCTAGTAGGGACTAGGTCATATTGTTTCAGTATGATACCTTCCAGCAGTCACACCTAATTAAAGAAATTTTACTAGTAAACATCTTCCATTACCCAAAAGGTCAGATTCCCCAATAATCCTTTTGCCTTGTAATGGTAGGAGGGTTTGCAAAGTGATGGAGATCCTCATTAATTGCGATATTCTTCAACAACTTCTGGGGAAATGCATTCTCAATTATAACCAAAGGATTGGAGCTTAGCATGGACTAGAGACTGTTCGATCTTATTGCCTGACCGGGATAAAAAGGAGACCTTGGTCCTGAACTTTGCCTGACCGGAATGATAGGAGAGAAAGACCTCAGCTTGAACAAATAGTAGCTTTTTCACCACCTGGGGACTTGTTTCTCGTATCTTATTGGCCTCATGGAACTTGGTCTGTAGGTTAATCTAATTGGAGGAGTGGGGCGGACACAGGGCACCAATTAACTCTTTCTATCACCAATAAAGTTATCAGAACACGTGAGGTGACCAATAGAAGCTTGTTTACATTCTGCTACTAACATGTTTCGTGTCAACCAATCAGATGCCAGGTGACGTTGTGCTACCAGAAATTCAGGGTCAAGCTAAGATAGGCAAAATTCCCCAAAAAAACCGTAAAAAACAGTAGACACTTTAAGAGGGTATAAAACAGTATGTGAGAAAGTGGAAAATAAGCCTTTCCCTGCCAACAGAACCTCTATTTCTTGTCGCTTCCAGCTCTGTAAGGTGACACTCCACTTGTCAGTTCTTTTACTTCCTAGAACCTTCTTGCCTTTAGTAGAGGAAGTGCGTTCTTGAGTCTTTTCAGATCACTAGAGGCTCAAGTTTTTATTTAAAGGAGTTTATAAACAAGTAAGGGAGGGTAGAAGAGATACATGAAGACAAGCTTCAAGTTGTTTTAATAAAAGTGTAAAGACTTTATTAGCAAAGAAGTATAAAACTTCTTGTGAATATCTTTTTTGTATGTGGTCAGAGGATCAGCGGAAAGAGTTTTATTTCAATATAATAGGATATATTTTTTATCTAAATAATATATATATATATATATATATTAAATACTTAACTTACCTATTTTATTGATTGTATGCATTATATGTATTGAATTTATAAAGAAATTTTACAAACTGTTTTCTATGTAGAGCAGAATAATAAAATCAATTGATAATAGATACCTACTACCATTAATGGTGGAACTCAGTTTTCTTACCCCTTGTGACTTTTGTACCTATATTAGAGACTAATATACCTAAGTACCATTAATGTATTTGATAATAATAGGGAAAATGGTTAAGATTTCATTAATGATTTCTTCTAGAATTGTTGATAGTAGGATTTTTGTCTGTATGTCATTATATATCTTGTTTGAATGTTTTAGTCTATATATTTTATTATTTCGGTTCTGTTTTTTAGTGATGTTGATAATGCCTATAGCTTTTTTCCATATTTGGATCCAGAGACATCTATTTATCCATATGAGTCTTGTAAGTTGAGCATTTTAGCAAATATTCTATTGTTTCCTCTTTCTGGCCACATGTAATACATTTCATTTGCTTATAAAGATCTGGTATTCTTATGGCCAGCTTCGTAAATGTTGGTAGCTCATCATTGATTAGTTTAGTGAGAAATCTTTTGTTTTGTGAGCTTTTAAATGAGGTGTTTCATATGTATCCTTTATTAAAATATTTTCATACAAGATCTCATGTGTATCTGTGATGGTTTTGGATTTGTTGGTCCTATTTTCTTTCAATTCTACCTTGAGTTGTCCATTAGTAGGCTATTACTTTGTTATTAATTTTTTTAATAGCTTGTCTTATAAGGGTATCTAGCATTATATTCTACCATTTAATTTGTGTGATCATCTTAGATGAGACCAATTTTTTCCATTTTATCATTAGAAATCTTAGTGCTTATTTGACCAAAGCATTTGCCTCTTCATTATACTGAATATTGGAGTATGCCTTAATCTTGATAAGCTTAAGATTACACTTTTTTTTCTTTATGAGATCCAGCATATGTGCCTATAGGGATCAGTTTTGTTCTTTTAACCATCTTTTGTGGATTATTTTGGGATCCTTCTTTTTTATAATTTTTCACTTTGAGATATAGGCTTGGCTATCTATAAAGATTTTAATCTTGTTATCTACTGGGACTACTAGTAGTATAGTAACTATTGCTACTAGTTTTGCTCTAGTGGATGAAGGTCAATCCTCTACATTAGTTTAGAACTTGCTTTTTCTTTCTGCTTCTTCTATCTGTATCCATACTACTCCTATTCTTATATTTGTACTTCCATGGTTTATGAAGGACCTATTGAAATAAAATATCATTGATTCTTTTCTTTGCTTGTTGCAGTTGAGTATTTCAATCAGATGGGATTGATAGGCACCTTCTTCAATATAATCTTTGATAATATTTGTTTTTCAATCCTCTATTTCCACTTGTAATACTCTTTCATTTTGGATAGTTACTTGATTACTGTATACTGTTCTATCTATAGAATTTTCAATGATTGGGATCTTCTGATGAACTTTTTTGCATTGAGATAGGGGACCATATGTATTTTCTCTATACTTGTTTCAATTATACATTGATCTTCTATCTTTATATATTCTGTACAACCTTGATATCAGGTTAGCTTTGATTCTCAATTTTTAACAGGGCTAATATATTCAAAGTGCTCTATATTTAGCTGTCTTGAAATATTATCTAGAATCAATTTTTCCCAAATTATCTGTTGCTGTTGAAATTTGCTTCTTGTAATTATCCAGAGTTACTATTATTTATCAAAGTTAATATTGAGAATAGGATGTTCTGGATTCCATTTTATCCATTCTTCTTTCCAGGATTCTACAAATTGTTTTAATCTATTTTCTTGCATTATCTTGATTATAAATAGATATCATCTTGGAATAGGTCATTTGCTTGTTTTCTGTAGCAGTTGGAATATTTACCAGTTTTATAGTTCTCTTGTTTCGTGGTCAACTAACTGGTCTATATACATCAGTTTATTGTTTCTAAGTGATGGAATTGCTTTCTTGTACTCTTCTATCCACAGGTATTCTTTAATTGAACTATTCCCTTGATTTCATTTGAAAATATTATTCCATTTCTAGCTTTGAAAGGTTATGCCTATGTCCTTGATCAGCTTCAGTACTTGCAGGAAGAAGTTACCTTTTCTGAGAATATTATTTAGTGAGTTACATATAAGCATGTTGACAGGCTTTCAGTATCTAACTTGTGCTTACTTAAGCTTGATAATTGTTGCAGTTCTGGCTGATCCTAGATCATTTAATCTGTTTCACAATCCTGTTATCTGGCTTTCTTTCTGTAACATTTAAACACTTTTTAAGTTATGAATTTTGGGATAATATATTATATTATTGGATATTGATCTGCATAATATGATCTTATTTTTGAACAGTTTTCTATATGCCATTATTAAAGTGTTACATATCTTCTAAGATAGTATACTATATTGTATTTTAAATTCGATTCTTGGTATTAGCACTTTATTTAAAATGTAAAGAGCTTGTTTGTCTATTAGCTTTTTATTCTTCAAAACTCTGATAATCACATTAATTTTCTTAAGCACCCATTCTTTGAGCTCAATATCTGTTTTTTGATTGCCTGTCCAAATCTCTAGAAACCTTGCTTGTTCAGTTTTATCCAATTCTTTTACCACTTCTTTATTGACTTCTGCTTGGACTTCTTCCAGATACTGGTTTGGGTTGTTAATAATTATTAGGACTGATTTATTACTATTAATCTGCAAGTTATTTGCTTTATAAAATATTCTTGCTTCTTCTAGTATTCTTTCCATATCTTCCTTTGATTGAGCTATCTATATAGTATCATTCATAAAGGCTATTGCTGCATATCATCCTCTAACTTTTTATTACTATTCTCTTTCAAATCTGGATTCCATGTAACTGATATTCTATATCCCTTTGTTTCATCATTTTGGATTTTACATAGTAGAGGATCATAAAATATTCTTCACATTAAAGGTAAAATAGTTTCTTCTTGATCTATTTCATCTTTTGCGATAATTGCTTCTATTAGTTTTTTTACATATATTACTTTAAACTCTCTATTGTAAAATAGACTCATTATGATTCAAATGAAACCTTCTGAAATTTTGATTCTTTTTATAGCCTTGATTAGCATATTTAGATTGATTGTATCATATGCTTTTACCATATCTTGAAAAAGAATCCA